ATCAGAGTTTGAACACCGCCGTCTATGCCTCATTGCACGAATTTTGTGAAACACCCGATGAATCAATGCTGAAATTAATTACAGATTTTTGGTAATGATTCACCCACAGGAGCAAGTGCTCTACCCCAATTACTTACCACTTATTACTAATACTCCTACTACTATTGCTAAACGAATATCGCTCCTGAGGGAAAAGAACATCATGATAGGTAGTGGATCTATGTGTACCGAATTGCAGAGACAAAATGTCTGCATTTTAATCAAAATATAATGAAAAAGACCCAAGAACTACTTTACTTATCCATGTTCTTTTGGACACTGAACTAAAATAAGGTGAAACCTGATCAATCAGAGAAGAATTGCATCTCCTATAATCTAGTCAATTCATTGACTCCATGATTACTGGGAGATAAACAAACAAGATCACGCCAAACATCCTAAATCATAACAACCTATTTTTACAATTTGGTCAACTTTGTGGGTAACAAGAAGAATATAATCAATCCAAAATCTGAATGAAATGTGGGAGAAAACTGAATGCAATAATGCATTCTAAATAATAAAATAAACCCAAGAACAAGACATTGCTGTTTAGCAGTCTATTTTCGTTCTACTTCTGGTTGAAATAAGCCATCCTTTCCCTTCGGATTTAAAACCTTAATTCCAACGAAGAGACCCGCTCACATTGATGATTTGAATAATGCTGTCCGAGTAGTGAAAAAGATATGTAATATAACGTGCAAAGGACCTCGCTGCTTGTGACCATACCTTCTATAAGTTCTGGTGTGACTGTGTTTCGAATTGACTCATCGTCAATGAACGATACCATGGACAATTCCCCGAATCCACCTTTCCCGTCATCTTTGAGCACCAGCATATTGTCCAGCGGAGACGACAAAGAAACCACATTGGACCTCGAAGCGGACAAAGTTCGAACCGCCGCAGGAGAGGAGGTGGATGAGTGCTCGTGTTTGGTAATCTTCTGTGGTTTTATTGCCTGTTACATATGGTAAAGATGTTCAAATATTAAAGAAAAATCCATTTATCTGTTAGCCTGAAAACCTTTTTCAATAAGTAAACACTGTTATTGAAATCAAACTTTCCAATCCCAATTTCAACTAATGGTAAGCATGATTGGATTTGCACGAAACCAAGGCAGCAATGATGAGAAGTAAAACGAGGGAGTGTGTTACAACTGGAGGTGATGAGGGAGAAGGGTTTGCAGAGCAGAACAAAGAAGCTGTTTTGTGTGCTTTCACTTTAGGATTTGTGATGTGTCTTGACAATTAATGTCAGGGAAGACGTAACTTTCTCCTGAGAATTCCCACAGTATCGGTGGGAAATGGATTGGAACTAATCGTCATCATGGGCAATTGCCGGTGTTTCCTCCGTATTACTGGATTCGTGGGCTCCAGAGTAACAGGCATAATACTGCAAATTGATCAGTCCATTGCCTACAGCAGTACTCTCGTGTTTTCCATTCCGGAAGAATCTAGACTGTACGCACTTTACCTATGCTTACAATAAACATTCGATCTGTTTGCAATAGTCTTTTCACTGGAATCTTTGGGGAACGACTTATGGGACCAGATTCGGTGATAGACTAGCAAACACAACAGTTTATATATATATATATAATGCTGTTTGCCGCATATAGGATCTAAACACAAAAACTGTACCAATTGTTAAAAACTGGCTCTTAACCGTTGTTCATTCTAAGTTTAGACCGCCACTGAACCGCAATAGTTACCTGTTTGGCTGCATTCTGATCCCGAGAATATTTGGACGAAGAAGAGCCCGGACGATCTGGAACAATTTTGGATGCTTCAAAAACAACCAACAAATCTTCCGTCTTCTCATCTTCGTCGGTGCCGGAATTGGTTTGCTCTTTGACAGCGACTAAAAAGCGGACAATTGCAATGCTAGTGTCTCAAGTGAATCCAAGCGCAAACAACACAACAGACCTTAAAAACGAATAAAGATCAATCCACTCGCCTACGAGATGTTTATGAACTAGTTTTTACTGATTTACTACAGAATACCAAGAGTTATTGAAGACAACTTTACATTGTACTTAAGGATCACATATAACTTTTGAAAAACGCTTCAGTCACGTTGTTAGGAAAGTGCGTTTGAGAATACTATAGCGGGTAGATTAAGTATTGGAATTTGATTCAACCCTTCGAGAATGCGGTGCACCAAACATTCACAGTTATCAATAGCGAACCTACTGTCCAAGTATGGCAGCTTTTAGTCATCCTGAATAATACAATAACAAGGGACAATTAAATAAAAATAAAATCCCTGCAAAAGGCCTTACAAATAAGCGAAAGCTGATACCCGTTGCCTGAAACCGAAGAGGTTTCACGAAGCTTTGCACGGCACCATTGTCGTAGAGCCCTATACATTGGAACGGTTTTCGTTGAATCTTAACTGAAAACAGAACCTAACAATTATACTACTTTCAACAGGTGTCGAAAGAGCCGCTGCAGCAATATAACGGTAGATGGCCACGGTGACCGTGCAGTGTTACGAATATCTCAGAGTAACAGCCTGCAAGACTGTTATATGTCATCAGACAACCGGGAGAATCAAGAGGAACCAGTAAAACAAATGACGTAGGACCTTGAGGTAATACTCATACTTGTGAACAGTTTTCACGCACCAAAGAGTGGTTATTGGAATCCCATGGAACCCGCCAGTAGATTAAAGGATTTATTATTGCAACTACAGATGAGACAAACAGACTGTCGGGCTGGCGAACATCGATGAAGAGATCACGAAAATACTAACCAAGTGTTGTTAATTAGATGTTTCTTTCTATATGACCTTAGTCACCCCTATCGGACGCTTTTATCTGAGTAAATAACTCGCCTCATCCCGGAACTGCCTTGTGGGTTGATAACACTGGTAACCACTGAACGCAAGTTCGACGGAGTTAAATGAAATAGGACTAATTGGAGTACGAACTATGACTCCCATTTCAAAACAAATAATATATATATTTAAAACATTTTACGAATGAGTCCAAGAGCATTCGCCAGCTCAATGAAAAAAGTAACGGGATGTTAAACAACTTTGGAAAAACGATCCTACGTGGAAATTGAGTTCATGAACTCCTGATATGGTATTTATTTTCTGGAAATCGTTTCACCCTACTTGCAAGTAGCCACTGCAAAGTGCATTGTCAAATGTATCTGAGCAATGCGTGCCGAGACTTCGATGAAATCAGAGAAATAAAAACTGGAGACGAAACTCGAGAAAGTGTGGTGTAAATGCCTAACTATTATCAATAATGTTCATTCATCGAATCACAGGAGAATCAAACTCGGGACTTTGATAGTACAACTCAATTACGGCATTAAACAATTACGTGTAGGCAATGTAGTTGGCCTCGTTCATATTGCTGACTCAATCGATTGCCCTCTGCACATTTTTTATGAAAACTTGTGTTTAACCTGGTTCAGTTGGTTTAAAGGATTGCGAAATACTCAATCAATAACCCTGGTACGGCCGATAGTTACAACGAAATACCTGAAGAAGTACTGCAAACTTCAAGTGGAATTTTTCATTTGTTTATCGGTTTTTACTAGCAGACTTCTGAGAGTATATCGGCCGCGTAGGCAAAAGTATAGATTTAAAAGGTTTCAAGCGTCATCCGGTGGCTAAACAGCTTTGCATGCATACCCATCACAAATGCAATCTTGTAAATTCAAATCACATGAAAAAGGTGATCCGGATTACAAATTGAGAGACGCATTCCGATAGCAGCAAAAGCGATGGGTAGCTAAAAATAAAAATACCCGAAAGGCAGTTCCTGGAGGTACTTTACATTCTATTTCTAAGAAGGTTATACGCTGAGTTCAAGCTTAATCACACCCAGTTGCATATCTCAGAAACCTTCCCCTTGTCATACCTCAGTTTTTATTCACTGAGGCACATCTCTTAGCCTATTCGTGTGAGGCAAAACATCGCGTCTTTTGAGCCTATAAATCGGAAGTTTTTCCAATAAAATCACTGCTGAACACAAGCTAGCTCTTAGGAGGTTATAGGTTAATGATAAAAAATAAATAAATCACTCTCAAAGTAAATTTTACGACGACGACGATAACGATGTGATTACAAGTGGCCGAAATGATTAACTATTACTAATATTATGTTAAAAACAATTTTTCTTATGTGTTTCAGTTGTATTCTTAATCGGGTTACGGTTGTGACCGTTTGCTATTTAATGAAGCATAAATGCATGCTCCGATAAACCGACATTACCGAAAACAGAAGTTGAAATACGTAAAAGAAGACATCATTCGAAAGACAGTATTTGGATACTCTTATGTTCGGAACATTCAATCGTTTTAAGCACTGAGTGAAAAGAAAACTCTAATGGACATGGAATCGTTTCTTCAAGCGCATTATCTCAAATTTCACGTTTTTATTGGCCAATAGTTCGCAAAATGTTTCCTAGTTGAATTCCTTGTTGATGTCGTATGCAGAGCCACAAAGAAGGTATCTCAGACCAACAACCTTTATCTGGTTTACTTTTCGCTAAATTGGCTAAACAATTCGAAAATAAACCATGCGGTAACAGTGAATCAGAATCGGCTAAAATTAATAACTGTGATGTCGACTGCATTATCAGAATAGCACGGAGTACAATGTGATCACTTTCTCTCTCACACACACGTTAACGTGAACTGCACTCATCTTTAGACTTGGCTATATCGTTAGAATACTGCACCGTTACACTTATTCAGACCCTTACCTTACCTAGAGTATTGAAAAACCGTTACAAACCTCAACAGCCAACATGAGTATGGTTCATAGGCTTGCGCATGGCCCTCCACTCGATAGATAGGAACTGTCCTTGAGAACATCTCAGGGGCGGAAAACGTAGTTGACGTAATGAAGTGATATTGCACAGGGTATGAGTTCGCATGCAAGGGGAGGATTTAGTGGAAATTTGCCAAAAGTCAGGCGTCCGCTAGTACTGGTACTTTCTAACTCCGTCAACGGGTGGTTCATGCAATAGGCATTGGCTGACTATCGTGGGGTTCAAACAAGCCCTAGCAAGTGGATCGCTGAATATGCGGACACTAAAGCCGTTTTGGGTTAGGATCCTTCCATGGTGCAAACAGTCCTCAATCACATCAATGAACTAGCAAATCATATCAGAATGCAGATCAACACATCGCAAACAAATTTATTCTATGAGTGACAGAGACCTAATGGAACAGGTAGAATCCTTGATGAACCTTGGCTCTACAATACTGCCGAATGACCAGGCAGGAAATTAATTAACATTCCAAATGTCGTCATCCTTATCATCATCATCGTACATTCCTTATGTATTTTAAGCCTAAATCCGACCCGTGGTTATCTATGGCTGTGAAATATGACGGATGATAATCAAGGCTAGCTGCAAGTTGGAGGTTTTCAAACATACCTACAGATCACCTGGGAAGTAATCTTGCAAAGCCGACTAGCAATCTGCAACACCAGACATCACCAAACGATGATGAGTGTATCGAAAAATCGATGCGCCATGTGTTGTTTTATCGTGAATGTTAATGTTATAGTGTTAATAACACAGCGATGTCGGTAGAGAATTAAATTCGCCGACGTTTCGGTTACCGTGGGTAACCTTTCTCAAGGCAGGTTTTACAATCAAATTTGATTGTAAAGTTGATACCGTTTCCCTAACATCTACGTCACTAATGGTTGAGATATTCTCTTTAGTCAACAGTAAATGACCTCTTAAGGCACAGTCTTCACCTATCTCCCTGTACAATATATTTCCATCGGCTGGGTGACCAAACGAAACCTTAAATGAATACCACCATGACCAACTGAGTATTCTGGGTCTAAAATCTGAGTAAAGCTGGTTGTCATGGCAATTGGATATCCATCTGTGCTGACCTGACTGCGAAAAACTGAGCGCAGCTGCTACCAGAGATATCACCAAAGCCAATTCATCGTCAAGTAAGAAATAGTCGTATCAAAATAAGAGTAGGTCATCAAGATTATTGTGTTACGCTACTGGATCAAGCGTAGACTGCTTTCTCATTAGCCTCTATCAATGAATTTCACAGGAGCTTGGATGAAAATTTGCCTAAAGAAAAGTAAAACAATAACATATTGAAATCACCTTTTTGTTTCTTGGGGTCTTTATTTTTTGATTTCATAAACCGCCAACCTTTATTATCTTCATGCGATGCATCATCGGACTCCTCAGTTAGGGATAGATGATCGTCAAATTCATTTGTTTTCTTCTTATTCCGTCTCAAATGTGAGAAAACAGATTTACGATTGCTGCTGTGCAAGGAAGAAGTTGGAAGAAATTAGTTAAAATATTTTCCAAGAACAACAGCGCTGAAATCTTACCTTTTTTTCCAGCTGACTGGTCCGATTTGACGCGCAACAGTGCTAGCCATCAATATTTAAATTCTGCAAAGTTTAACAAATTTTTGGTACGTATGAAAATAAGCATTTCATATATATTCAAAAAATACAGAAATGATTGATAATAATACATATAAGGTATTTAAGCACCTGTTTCACTCACTTTTTGAACTGGATGAATTTGTCATCGAAGTTCAACTTATTCCGCAGCTGTCCCCAGCCTCCAGTAGTAATCTCCTATCCAAAATATGTATTGCACTAAGCGAAAAAATTTATACGAACCACCAATTGCAAACCTTGCNCTTGCTTGATTATTATCAAACATCGATATGAAAAGCTGAAAGAGATCCCGGTAGAGAGCTCATTCATTTTCTATTGCATAGTTCCGTAGAATCATAACTGAAAGTTCTACGTGCAACAAAAATTCAATTTTGTTTATCGGTTCTTCCGGTATTCCAAACTTTTATTCGTTGTAAATAGTGTTCCGTTAAGTTCAGCTTATACAACGATTTTAGTCTCAAAGTTTTAGGTGTTGTTGTGGGAAATACGTACAAGCGGTTGCTTTTCTTGTCCCATAAGGTTTAACACAAACGGATCAAAGAACGGTTCATAGAGAGATGAGGAATGTCACAAATTATCTTTGTTTTTTACACTGCTACGGACGTCGAAATTTAAGATATGTCAAGGTTTCAACCAGTTTGTGCTAAAAAGAATCACTTGTGCGTACAAAAACAATGTGAGCTGATAGACAATGCCAAATACTGCACACTCTGAGGGTAAATGAACGACGCTGGCATTCTAGTCGAGTTGAAATATTCTGGGATGCGTTGAACTACTGATCGTTGACCATCACGACGAGACTGCACCTTGACGTGGGGTGATGGCTTGTGCACTTCTCTGATACAATGAGCTATATAGGACGGTATTTGTCAAGCCGAAAATATAATCACACATGGAAGGTCGAAGTGTAGACAAAGTTCAGTCTCCTGGTGGGGGGTTCGAATAGAATTTGTGTTCCAATCGGTAAAATATGGTTGAGGAGTAACAGATCCAATGGGTCTCCACTTCGCTTCACCCGCTGCCTTGCGGTTAGGTTTCTGTCAGGACTAAAGGATTTGCTTGAGAACCCTAATTGTTCTCCTGCTTAGTGACTAGTCACCCTGACAGTATCCGTCCATCAAACCCCAGTGCATACACCAACTATAAAGTGTTCCATACTGTATCACTCGTGGAGCAGAATAATCTGAACCACGCTGTCTATTGCTTCGAGCAGGGTGGGTAGTAAAAAGTAGGCTACTTCTCAGATATCTCAACCTTTGTTTTATTTTTTATCTCCGTATCCAGCCCTCTCGCTTTGCCCCTTATCCCGACCTGTAACAGTCCCTCAAGCAACCTGGATGTCGCCTGCCATAAGTCGTTGCCAAATAGTATTGTAATTTACCATGAAATAGATAGCAGATTCTGAAGCCTTGTCAATCGCTGAATCTGGGAGTCTTCAACGTGAGGACTTTGATGAAGATGGGTTAACAGATTTGTCTGACACCTACAATAGAATCCTTAGGGACCGATATTTTCTGCTTGTCGGCGACCCAAATTCAGGATTCAACTACTACAAGCCACTTTGTGCACCAGATTTGTCCTCGAGGTAGGTTCTTCGCCTATTAGTTGACGATAAAGCCCACTCAGTAGATGAGCACGAGGTAGATATTTCACTCAGTAACAGGGCCAAATCCTCTCTTATCGATTGGATTATCGACAATA